TACCATGTTGGGGTGGGGTTGGGGGGGTGGGGTTCAAAAGAATTAAAGGGGTGGGGGGAGGGGAAGACTTGACGGAGCCTCACTTTAAAAACAAAAAAATGGAAAAAAACACACAAAAAAAAACAAAAAACAAACAAAAAAACACCAACACTTTGTGATTGGCTGGTTGATAAGTACCAGTGTGTTCTGGCACATGTAACTGCCCATGTGTGCTTGTTTTCTGTGCGAGTGAGTGTGTGCACATGTTTGTGCGCGCGTGTATGCATTTTTTCCTCTCTATATATAATCTTGGAACGCTGCATTGCTGATGGTCTACAGGCTGGCTGGCCATCTTTACGTCTTGACTGTGAAAACAAGACAAGTGTGATGGAGTCCCTGTGGCTATAGCAAAATCCAGTTGGGCTGGATTAAAATTTGTCAATAGATTTTTTTAAAATTCATTTTAGCAGGGTGCTATTTCAAGTTTGCAGATCATTCTGAATGGGTAGTTGCTTCCTAGCCCTTGTTTCTAACCCTGTGGGGGAGCAGAACACTGCCATATCCAAAGGATTTGGTGAGGGGGAGCCAACGTTGTCTTTCAAGTAGCAGTGTATTTATTTATTTATGTCTGCATGTTGGGGTTATTTGTGAGTGAACCCTAGAATGTTTGTTTTATAATGCAAGCCATTTTCTTTCTTCTGAGGAGGGGAAACAAGGATAGAAGACATCATGTTTCTCTGTGGTCAAGATGAATGTTCTTCAATCCCTTTACAAGGTTCAGTGTCTTTAGAAAACGAGCCTCTCATCCCTTCCCCAATCCTCTATATATGCACCCCTGTTTGTCCACAAAGAATCCATCAAAAGCCTGAAACTCCAGCCCAACCAAATTAGCATTTTAATGTAATTACTGCGTATATTAAAACTGACAAAACTCAATTATGTCAACAGTTTGCTGGCTGGCCTGCCTGCCTGCCTCATCTCCTGAAAGCACATGCAGCTAACTCCTTTCTGCGTCCTTCACAGTGAGCGTTACCTGTGCCAGGCCTCGGTGTATTACAGCACCAGACCATCACTGACAGAAACGTTTACTTACGAATGTTCTTAAACCAGTGTGTACTTCAAACGTTTCCTTTGTTTCTCCGTGTTGTGTTTTTTCCTGTGTACGTGGTTTTGCTTAGGCAGGTATATAACTAGAAAAGATTTTTTTTTTTTCCTTTGAAGTATTGCACCTTTTTTGTTTTTGTTTTGACTTTCTTCTGTACCATTGCTTTTTTAATTTCTGTATTTAAAGAAAGGTTTTGGGGGAGGGGGTTGAGCATCAGTATAGTAGTACTCTGGGCAGGATAGGGGTGACCTATAATCCACAGTGATAACCAGTGTGTGTGTGTGTGCGTGTGTGTGCGTGCGTGCGTGCATGCATGTGTGCGCTGGGAACAAAACTTACAATGATGCTTGTTGTGAAAAAGAGTTGTAGCAGACCTGAAGGGACATCCCTTTACACAAAGCAGGAAATATTTGTGGGGAGAAGGGGGCAGAGGGAAGAGAGATGCCGGTACTCTCCTTAGAAGTGCTAGCACTTACATGTGGCATTGTCTAGCTCTGTTATATTGTCTAACATAAAGTGCCGACATTCTGTACCAGCAAAACCCTAGCCGCTCCAACCCTGGGTGGGGGCAGGACTCTGCTGTCCTTATTAACTGTAGGGGAGGGAGGATAGGGGAATCTCTTTTCTTTAGCATCTTCATTGAAGGATATAATAATATCTAATGTATTGAACACTTTAAGCATGGGTTGGAGGGAGAGAAGCAAAGACAGATTCATCATTTGGGGTCATTTGTGCATGTGTGTGTCAAAATGGGGGAAAGGCATGGGAGAATTGAGTGGGGATTTTTTTTTTTTGGGTGGGGGTTGTTTCATTTTATTTGGTTTACTTTTATTGCCCTAACCATGTAAACCCCATGTCACAAAGAGAGCTGACTGAGGGGAATGCTGCGTTTACATATGCCTGTAGATTTGTATACAGAGTGTTATGTGCAAGTGTGTGGCTGCGTGAGTATGTGTAGTAAACTGGAGTCTGCAGCATACTTTCTGGCCCTTTTAGATATGCTTTTTAAATGGTATCTCCGTTTCCACTTCACCGTACACATTGAAACAAAATATTTTTCTTCCAACTCCTACCGGTTAAGTCCCCTCAACACGCACACCAGAAACAAATCTTTGTCTCTGGTGGTCTCAACTTAAAGACCAGCCATGCTCTAACATGCAGTACAGATCAAGAGCCCTGTGCCAGCAGAACTTCCCAATGAAGCACCTATAGTGGCCTAAATAAGCCAGTATCCATTCTGTCATACGACTTGCCACATTTGCTGGTTCATTGCTACGTTTCTGCCCCCGCTTCTCTCTCCCAACCTGCCCGATGGTCCCTTTTCCTGCACTTTGGGTAGTTGAGTTCACTGCGATGCTGCGGTGAAAGCCGGGTGCTAGAGCCCCTCTTGTTTACAAGACGTAATGAGGGATTTGAAATATTTAAAAATGAAAAGCTACAATGTTCTTCCATCGTAAGCTCAAAGGGACAAAAGTTAAAACTTAAAAAAAAAAAAAAAAAAAGACCAAAAAGTGCATATATATATTTTAGATGAAGACTAACTCTGGGAGCATTTAACAGTGTTTTTTTTGTTTTTGTTTTAACATTTATTTTCCTGCTTTAAATTTGCAAGCGTTCTCAGGAATTCTAGGGTAGGAAGCCAGTTTTTGAAGATGGTTTATTTAACCTTATCTTATCCTAGATAGATGGCTGTTTCTTTCCTGTTGATAAACTTTTACAAGTTCCTGAATCTTCAAAAAGTTTGAAATTTTTTACTTTAAAAAAAGAAGAAAAAGCTAAAAAAATTAATAAAAAGGAAAAAAAATAAAAAAAAATCTCCAAACGTTACTGTCAAATGGGGGATCAAGAATTTTAAAGACTGTAAAAATTAATTGAAATATAAGAAAACTTCTCAATAGCAGCAACAAAAATTCTTTCTTTATCCTAAAAACCAAGTTGTAGGAAAAGAAGGGTTACTCTTTACAGAGTTTTGTTAGTCTCATGTGAGTGTGTGTGCAGTTGCATGGGGAAGAGAGGTGTGTGTGAATGGAGAGATATAATCATTTAGTTCTTTTGGCATTTAAACTAAAATTCAATCTCCCTCCAAGCACCTTTTGAAAAACAAAACAAAATAAAGCTCTAAACCTTACTATAAATGCAGTATGGTTTGGCCAAATGAGATGACCTGAATTTAAGGAGAGGAGCAGGAAATACAGGATAGTGCTTCTTTAAACCACTTTTAAATTCAAGTAGTACTGAAGGAAACCTATGGAGTATCTCAATAATGGAGCAGTTGTAACGTCTCTCCTTGTTAAATATAGAGAATGGGGGAGAGGAGAGAGGATATAAAGGCTCCAGTGAAATGTGCATTAGACGACAAAAGGGATTTCATTTAAATTTCTAATTACACCCTAGCAAATTTTAACTTCCTATTCTGAAGATTTGCTGCTTGTTTTTCTTCATCTCTCACCCAGAAGTGTATTTCTGTTTCTCTTTTCTTTCTTCTTTGAGGGGATTGTTTGTTAAGCTCTCCTGCTCACCTCATTGGTGTTGGCTGTCAGGACTCCTAGCCCTGAGAATAACTTCACTGAGCTCTCAGCACTCCGATGGGGAAACTCCAACCTCCCAGCACTAAGAGAGATGGGCTTAATCTGCCTGCAGTTGTTAGGCTGAAACCACAAACCGCTTTAGTGCCTTTTTACCTACATGTACATGTCCTGCAAAATAGAGGCATGTGTAGCCCCAGGGAGATGAATCTACCCACTTTTAAGATTAAAAAGAGCATGCTGCAAAGGCATGTCCTACAATGAGTTATTAAACAGTTTAGTATGCTTTTTATGATTTGAAAAATCAAATGCCAAGTTCTTGTCCTGTCACATCAGCTGCCCCAAACTTGTGTGTTGCATTCTCTCTGCAAGTGTGCATACACAAGTATGATAACGGTATACCAACTAATTTGTGACATTTTGGTGTAATGTGCCAGTAAAAGGGTTCTTTTGTTTTGGGGGTTTGGGATTCCTTCCCTTCCTAAGGAAAATATATTTGCCAGAGGCTCTGCTTTATCAGTTGGCAGTGTCCTGAGAACAGGGAGCAATAGAACTTAGTGAAAAATAACCCAAAGCCTTTGCCGCAGTCATTTGGCAACAACCATGGGTAGCTACTGAGAAGTTGGAACATTTAAATATTTTTAGCTGTCATTTCTTCATGCTTTCCGTTTAGAGCATCCTGCTCTACCTCCCCATAACTTCCAAAAGCACACATGCTGCCCATCCCTGACCTGTGCAGACTTTATTTTAAGCCTTTGTGTCTTGAGCGATAGTTTTCCTAAATTGCTGAAGGGCAGCAAAATAAATCTTAAGTCTTTCAATTTCCCAATTTGCAAAATGTAATTCTCAGTTATGTTCCTATTCAGACTACAGTTACACTTGTCTGATCACTGGGGCAAGCATGGTTTTATGTAGTTTTCCTGACTGTTAGAAATAGCATTTATGGGAACCATGCTAGCCTGGAAACATTCCTAAGGTGGGCTAAATCTTTGTTGAAGAGTGAATGAGTAATTCCCTTCAGTGTCAGTCCATGAAAAAGGGAAGTGG